ATTTACATTTAAATCAGTGTTTCCTTAACATTTTCCACTGGCAATTAGGTAATGTCAGATCCACTTCTGTAATTTGGTTTGCCTGTACTTCAAATGAATAAAATGGAGTGTGGGTGGCAAAGCATGATAGGAACATAAGCAGATGCCTCATAACTCCTACATTTTCATTGCTGATTTTGGTCTGCACTGAGTCATTCGCATCTCCAAGTTAGCTGAATACGGGTATATTGGGAAGGAAGGGAGGAAGACCCCATGGTTATTAGTATTATGTCCGAAACATCCTTAGACCTGATGACCTTAAGCACTAAATGACACAGCGAGGTAAGAGATGCTCTGTCAGCTGAACTGTGGAGGAAACCTATCTTCATTAGCGCTGATGCATTTTATCCCATTGTAGGCCCAGGTCTCGGTCACAAGAGAATAGACCAGGGTAACTCAACACAGAACAGCCCCAAAGTGCCAACTAAGGCTTCAGACAGAGGTTGAATTTGTCTGGAGAGAAACCATTTTATCACAGGACAAACTGTGATCATTCAGAAGTTGATGTGCCTTGTCCCAGGACAAACCCTGAAAAGGTTCACAGGGTAAGAAGTCCTAACAGCGTGCCCTGGGACATCCCCACGTGTGTCTGAAGGGTTGTCCCAGGTTTGCATCATTGAATCAATGGCAGAAAAGTGGCAGCGCTCGCTAAACCCGGACTGGAAGTGTCATGTGTGTACACACCAATCCCGGGATTTTTTGTTCCAAGGCAAACAGTGGTGCAACTTGTCCTGGGACAAATGCCACATCTTTTTGTAGCCTAATTCACTGTTGATTGAACTCAGCAAAGCCCTACACATTTTAACATGCTGAGCTGTTATTCATTCCACTTTACAGAGGTCTAGGAAAAAGGTGCCATCATTTTAACCTTTTTTGGATAGGATACAATGCTTATTCCAGCCTACAAGATAAGTACCAGGAGCCAATGACTTAAGAAAACACAAAGCGGATACCAAAAGCAAAGGGTGTTTTGGGGACTTGTGGGATGACACAAGGATCAGTGTTTAGCAGGAACTTTGTCTTCTTGAATCTCCTCTGCCAGCGGCTTGGAAAAGGGCCTGGAAATGGTGATGAAACTTCCAAAAGACCCGAAAGAAAAATGCTGGCCACAACACTAGCTAGTCCCCAGCACTAAGGACCCTAATTCAGTAAGGTTTGTGATCACAGAGCTAACTTTCAGATAAGTAACCCTTGAAAATCAAACAGCCCCCAGATAAAAATGAGGCTCTTGCTGAACTGGGCCTCAAAGCAGGGTCAGATAGGAAAGGCACAGAAATACGTCGTGCAGAGTTGTGCAAAATCAAGTAATGATTTGTTGGGAGAACAACTGATGCTAATGAAGCCTTTAATAATTATAATGTGCTATAAATCACCTGGAGGAAAGATCTTGGTGGGTGGAGAATGAAGTTAAGTAACCCGCAAACCAAACATCGGATTAACACGCGAGATGAAATTAGCACCGTCTTGAAGGGGCAAGGCTGCATTTAGCCTGTTTCGCCCCCTTTTGCTTGTCACCCTGAAAGATGGGTGGTGCAGACAAGGGGCGAGTCTGCAGAGGAGCCATTAAGGAGCAGGGCCCCAAAACTGGCAGTTATTTAGTGCGCGGAGCGGATCAGGAAGGGCCACAGCTGAGGCCCAGCCACTGCAAATCCTCAGGAGTGGGTGAGATAGCCCATGGTGGGCTCCTTACCAGGTTGGACAGTCACGCTGACTGCAATGGGTCTGGCTCTCATGAGCAAGAACAGCAGAAACTGGCCCTCTTTATGGGAGCGTGAAGGGAAGCGGTTCCCGAAGCCATGCATTCATTGTCGAACCTACAACCTTGCTTTTTTCTTTTCTTTTTTTTTTTTGTTTTCAAACATTTGAGATGCGAGGATGGTATTTCCTGGAAAACTGATCAGTGGGCAGAAGAGGTTTTGGGAAAGGAGAGATGCCCTCAGGCTGTGCGCCAGATCTTGCTGCATCACTCCAGATGTGCAAGGGGCGCTGCTGGAAGCCCCCTGACCGGAGGCACTGAAACCAGATCAGGACAGAGCACCACTATTCTGGTTCCCAGCCCAGCTCTCCCTTCGCTAAACGCTTTGCTTACAAGAAAGGTTTGAACGTTGTTGAGGGCAGGTAGCTCTTTTGAAATATCTTTTCAGTGAATAGGGGAAAGATTGGAGTAATCGATAGTTTGAGAAAGAAAGCCCTAGTTGTTATACTGCATGAAGAAGTGCACAGACAACTAAACGGTGGAAAATGCTTGGCTGCGTTGCCCAATTGGCACTATTGATGGACGGTGTATCGGATCTCTAAAATAATCAGTTGTTAAGAGAAGAGTGGAACATTTCATCGAAGTACAGCTGTCAGCGACCTTTTCAGGGATCAACCCAGCTCAGGTCAGAGGTGGGCTAGAAGCTGGGTGGCCGCTGGGACCCAGCTACCACCGGCGCTGAGCACGGGGGCAGCTTCTGCAGCTGGTGCTTCTCCCTGCGGCGGTATAGGGAAAGCGC